TGGGTACTACAGCCTAAGGCAGGTCAACATTTTGGTATAGCCCCCATATAATAGTACTTCCATATATTCGGGATTTTTTAAGTTTCGCATTCTAATATTGTAATGGCTTATGTCAAAAGTTGCCTATGCAGGTCGACGTCGTCGTATAGATCCTAATATAAGGGTTATATTCGATATTTTTAAGATTTTAACAAAATTTTTAACGGATTTTATTTTATTTTTTTTTTTTTTTTTTTTGAAAATTGCCAAATTCGTTCCAAATGGTGGAGGGTATTCAAAGTTCGGTCCGGCTGAAATTACTGCTTTTTAACTTGTTTTTTTTTTTCAACTTTAGCATTTGAATATTGTAATGGCTTATGTCAAAAGTTGTCTATGCAGGTCCATGTCGTCGTACAGATCCGAATATAACGGCTATATTCGGTATTTTTAAGATTTTAAAATTTTTAAGGGAATTTATTTTTTTGAAAATTGTCAAATTCGTTCCAAATGGTGGGGGGTATTCAAAGTTCGACCCGGCCGAACTTACAGTTTTTTACTTGTTAAATATGTCTTATATGGCAGAGCCAAAAATAATCGATTTACAATTTTGTTCCATGGCCTTATCCTCTTTAACAGACTAAGCGAAATTGCCGTTTTAGGAGCACATTTACATCAAGTATTAAATGATTTTATAATTATCTCAATGACTTTATATGAATTTGTAGTTCTTTCAATAGTTATTTTTTAATTCAAACACCTTAGGCTATTGAAAAACATTGACATCTTTTGTAGGTTGTTAGAGACTCTAACCCAATAACTGCCGAAAATAAATCATTTGTTTACGACAATCATGATTTTTCATGAAATTGTTAGAGATCGTTAAATAAAATTGTGTTGGGAAATTAGTTAAAAAGATTTAGTGGATCTCAAATCAAGTTCGTGGCTTAAGTCTTTTGTTTATATCAGAAAGAATAAGAGGAATAAATCATTATATTATAAAAAATATGTTTTGGGGGAATTTCAAGACTTGTAGAAGAGTTGTAGAGCCTTTATAATTGTCTTTCATTTTTCAACTCTGAACCTTTTATTGACAATTGTACAGGGTCATCATCCCAAAACATGTTTTTTTGTTGCCCTGAGAATTTTCACAGCTTAAGCAAAAAAAAAAAAAAAACTGATGGATCTCAAAATAATGTATTTGGCCTCTACGAATACCTCACATTCTTCATCTCTGAACCTTAAATTCTCAATCCTAACAGATCATCTCAAAATTGGTATTGATTGTTCCATTTCATCTCACAATCATATCACAGGTCATAGTTTATTGACCTGACTGCTCAGAAACGATTAACACTCTTCTAATCCTTTCATCTCCCACCCCCCTCCTTCTCCCACCGTTCCTGTATTGTTATGCACAAATTATTATGTTCTGCTGATGCTGCTGTTCGCCAGCTTAATGTCATTGAATATTTATCGTCTGATAATCGTATCAACAAGTCATTATCTTAAGAGGAGGAGAAGAAAAAAAAAACAAACAGAAGATACTCCAATCTGACAAACAAGTTCTCGCAACGTTATATCATTTCTAAAAATATTTATGTGTTTCCGAAACGATTGCAAATGTCCAAATTAATACGAAATGTTATCAATTAGTTCAAGTATATGGCAAATTTAAAATACTCGTTCGGATGGTTGTGGTTTGCTTCTTTGAAAGCGTATTGTTCAATATCAGGTGTAATTAATGATATCTAAGGCAGGTGGGGGTGAAGGGATGGCAGGGGGTGTGGGGAGGAAAAATTTTACCATCATTTGGGGTGGCAGTTTTTTTTTTTTTTTTTTTTTTTGTTTTTGAGGGAATATAAATTATTTTATTGAGTAATGCAAAGAGAAGGTGAGTATGGAATTATATTCAAGAGGAATAAAAATTAAGAATTTTCATTAAAAAATATTTGAAAATTTGTCAAAAGATTTTCGATAAATTTTCTAGTAATTAAAAAAAATTAAAAATAAATACATAATTTTTGATACATTTTCATTAAAAAAAATTAAAATTATACATCATTTTCGATAAATTCGAAATTCCTTTTCGAAAAATTTTGTATAGATTTTCCATGAAATTTCTACTAATTTTTGATTTCTTTTAAATTGAAATTGCTATTCGAAAATTTCCCAATAGATTTTCCATAAGTGTTATTTTTTTTATTTGATTTTTTTTTGTGTTTCCAAAATTTTCTATAAATTTTAAATATTTTATATAATTTTGAACAATTTCTTGATAAATTTTCAATAATACAACGATTAAGATAGTAAATAAATTTTCGATAATTCTTCTAACACCAATCGATAAGATTTTGTGAAAGACCCATTAAAAAATTCTTTAACTGTTTTCGATAAATTTTCTAAAAATTTGAAACAATTTTTTTTTTAAAATTATTTTTTTTTGAAAAACTAACAAAGGAAATGTAATATCTGATACATTTTCGATAATACTTAAAAAACAGATACTTTTTCTATAAATTGGGAATTCCTATTTGAAAAAATGTCAATAGATTTTCTAAAAAAAATTTAATTTATTTTTTTTAATATTTGATAAATTTTCAATATTTTTGATAATTTTTTTGATAATTGATTTTCAATAATACAACGAAAAAGAAATTCTATATAAATTTTCGATAAATTGCCGAAAATTCTACGATAATAATTTTTCAAAGACCAAAAAAGAAAATCGGACAATTTTCAAAAGATTTTCGAAAAATATTCTAAGAATTTATTTTTTTTTTCAAAAATTTGTTTTTAAAAACATTTTTTTCTATTTTGTCTGATATATATTATGACAGAAAAAATTCTATATCATTTTTCGATAAATTCGAATTCCTATTCGAAAAATTTTTAATAGTTTCGATAAATGTTTCAATTATCAATAATAGTTTATCAAGGACAAAAAGATTCCTATTCGAACATTTTTCAATAGATTTTCGATAAAGTTTTTAGTTATATTTTTCCAAAATATTTCATATATTTTTAATATTTTGGGGAATTTTCGACAAATTTCTGATACTACGTCAAAAAAACAAATTGTCGATAATAGTTTTTCTAGGACCAAAAGAGTCCTATTCGAAAATTTTTATTTTCTTTATTTTTTTAAAAATTATTCGATAAATTTTCAATAATTTGGGTAATTTTCAACAATTTTTGATAGATTTTCAATAATTCTTCGAAAAAATTCTATACAAATTTTCGATAAATTAACGATAATTTTTTCGATAATAGTTTGTTAAGGACCAAAAGAGTCTTATTCGGAAATTTTTCAAAAGATTTCAATAATCCTTTAATTTTTTTTAATATTCGAAAATTTTTCAATATTTTGGGTAATTTCCTACAATTTTTTAATAAATTTTCAATAACGCAACGAAAAAAATCTATGTGAATTTTCGATAAATTATCGAAAATTTTCAACATTTAAAGTGTCGATAATAGTTTTTCTAGAACCAAAAGAGACCTATTCGAAAATTCTTATTCATTTTTTTTTTCAAAAATATTCGATAAATTTTCAATAATTTTTGTAATTTTCTACAAATTTTGAACGATTTTCAATAATTTTTCGAAAAAATTCTATACAAATTTTCGATAAATTAACGGTAATTTTTCGATAATAGTTCATTAAGAACCAAAAGAGTCTTATTCGAAAATTGTTCGATAGTTTTTCAAGAAATTTATGATTTTTATTTTTAAAAAAATATTCGATAATTTTCAATATTTTAGGTAATTTCCTACAGTTTTTTAATAAATTTTCACTAACGCAATGAAAAAATCTATATGAATTTTCGATAAATGAGCGAAATATTTCAACATTGAATTTTCGACAAATTTCTGATACTAAATCAAAACTTGTTCAACAAAGTGTCGTTAATTTGGGTAATTTTCTACAAATGTTGATAGATTTTCAATAATTCTTCGAAAAAATTCTATACAAATTTTCGATAAATTTTCGATAATAGTTCGTTAAGGACCAAAAAAGTCTTATTCGAAAATTTTCAAAAGATTTTCAATAAATTTTTGATTTTTATTTTTCAAAAATATTCGATAAAAATGCAATAGTTCCTACAATCTTTTAATAAATTTTCAATAATGCAACGAAAAAAATTCTTTATGAATCTTCGATAAATTATCGAAATGTTTCAACTATGGTTAATAGCTAGTCAAGGACGTAACGAGTCCTATTTAAGGTAGTCAGCAGTTGAAGGCTTCTAGGACTTCTACGGACAAAAACGTACTTCTTTAGTTTATTTAAATAGATTTAGTTTTCCATCCCCGGAAACAAGTTTGTTGCTTAAGTCTTTTGTGTCCATGGGCGTATGCTGAAGATATGACATATTTTATTGGAGAAATAAATGTTTATATTGGGGTGGCAGTTTTTTTGGGAGTATAAATAAAAGTAATGAGTTAAAAAATGTATATGATAAGTTTTAGAGAATAATAAAAATTAAGAATTTTCGGTAAAAAAATATTCGAAAAATTTTCAATAGATTTTCGATAAATTTTATACAAATTTTTAATTTTTTTTTTTCAAAAATTTTTGATACACTTTGAATATTCGAGATATTTTTCTACAATTTTTTTGATAAATATTAGATAAATTCTCGATAATTTGTCAAGGACCAAATGAGTCCCATTTAAGGTGGTTCGCAGTTGAAAGGCTTCTTTTTTTCTGAAAGACTTACTTCTTCAGTTTATTATAAAAAATTTAATACTCCATCCCCGAAAAACAAGTTTGTTGCTTAAGTCTTTTGCTTCCCTTTGGGGTATTTTCAAGAGATTGCATTTTTTTGATGCAGCAAATAACTGTTGATATTGTCCAGTTTCGAACAACTAACATTAAATTTTGTTATAACATATTAATCCCACTCTATGGCCATTATCAACTTTCATATTTTATTAAATAATGCATTTGCTAATAAATTTGTATTTTATATACAACAACAACAACAAAAAAACGCACAGATTTTCCCATAGAAACTTACCTTGCAACCTTCACAGGTGAATGCGCCAAAATGGAAACCTGCCGCCGGTTCGCCACAGACCTTACAGGTCTGATTCATCTGTAAAGAAAACAAGAACATGTTAATGAATTATGACTAACAGAATTCGATATTGCGGGAAAACGTTCCATTTTATGATATAAAATAAAAAAAATTCGTAGCCATGGAAAAATTCAATTAAAAAGCCACAAATCTTTTTTTTTGTGGCATGACAATAATAAAACTCAATATGTATGGCAACATAACTTGCAGCGAAATTCACACGCATGATAATGGATGGGATAAGAGATTCGAAAAAAAAAACTGAAAAACAATTTCAATATGGAAAACACCAAAGCCAAACCTGGCCAGCCTTTAAGATACTTTTCCAGCTCAACACTTCTTTTCCTTATGGATTGCATTCTTTTTTTTTTCTTTTTGAATTTCATAAAAAAATTGAGTAATGAGTGAGCAATTTTCCAAGCACTCCCTGCCTTATACTGCTTTTACAAATGTAAATTTTTTTCACATATCATCTCCCTCCAGGCCTTTATGCTGTAAAAAATTTGCATATGTTATGGCATGTCCGACGTAACCAAAGAAATCATCTTTGCTTAATCTCCCAAGAAGAGGAGTTCAGTTCAGGCAGCCACTACATGCAGATCTTCTGGTACTCGGGGATATGGCCTAAGCCATGGAATTGGTAAGCAAAACAAATATTTATTACTTTGCTAACGTTTATCAACAATTTGTAATCTTAGCATAAAGGCCAAGGTCTTTAAGGCAGTCCATGGAAATAAATTTTCTCCGGTACACCAAAAAAATTAAATGTATTTTACATTGCATACACACACACACACAGGTCAACTATGTTACAAAATGGGAGCATCAGTGTTACTGGAAGGTAACAAGGAAAATAAAATTGAAACGACAACTACATCGTCTCCTTTTTCTGTTGATCCATAATCAACACCAATTTTATGGTAGCCATTTTTACACACTTTTTGGTAGGAAAATAATTTTAGGAAAATTTTGGAAAAAAAAGTGTGATAAATTAATGTAAAGTAGGGCAATAAAGCAATATAAAAGATTATTTTTGAAATATTTATTAAAAATAATTTTTATGTAGATTTTTGGACATATTTTTTGAAATATGGATAATATTTTAAAAAATATTTTTTGCTGAATATTTTTTAGATTTTATAAAATAATTTATTTTTTATATATGAAATATTTTTATAAAATAATATAATATATTATAATTTATAATATATTATAATAATTTTTTTATAATTTATTTTTATGTAGCAGAGCAATAAAATTGAATTTTATAATATGTATTTTTAAATTATTTATTTAGAAAAATTTTCAAGTTAGATGTTTAGAACTATCTTTTTAAATTTAATATTTTAAATATGTTTCTTTAAGTATGAAATTCTTTTAAAAATATTTTTCGTAGTGTATGTTTTACACTTCATATTTTTTTATTTAAAAAAAATTATTTTTATATTTCTTATAATAATTTGTTATATATCAGAGCAGTAAAGGTGAATTAAAAAAAATACTTTATTAATATTTATTTAGAAATATTTTTCAAGGGAAATTTTTAGAAAAAAAATGAATTTTGATGTTATATACATTTTTTTTTAAATATGGAATTTTTAAAAATAATTTTATTTGTATTTTTAGTATTTATATTATTTTTAATATATACTATATTTTTTATAGTATAATTTTAAATAAATATATATTAAAAATAAAAATATTAACATCCTATCATTTTTATAATATTATTTAATATTTTATAAAATATTTTTAACATATATTTTATTAATATTTTTATTAATATGGAAAAAGAATATTTTTACTTAGGTTTTTAGAACATATTTTTTAAGTGGGTTTTAAAAATAATTTTTAACATAGATTTATTTAATTATTTTTACCCTACAACACTATTTTTGAGAAACATTTTTTAAGGTGGATATTTTTTTGGTCACATTTTTTAAATACTGATTATTTATACCCTACAACATTATGTGTAGGGGGTGTTATAAGTTTAATTGGGGCAAAAATTTTATAACACCGACGATCTTCTCGAAAATTTTCACAAGGGTAGGGTCAGGCTTAGAAGGGCTAGGCCTTTTTTTCAAAGATGTCCGCAATATATTTAGGGGTTGAAATAGACCAACTAGAGTAGAGTATCACATGGTCGGCCCCGCACGACTATAGCCTTTGCTTACTTGTTTCTAATTACGGTTTTTTAAATATTTTTTGCGGAACATTTTTTAGATAATTTTTTGCAATCTATGTTGATGAAAAATATGAATAAAAAAATTAGGTTAAAAATATTTTGTAAAATACATATTACATTAAAAAATGATTGAATATTATTAAGAAAAATATTTATAAAATATTATTATAAAAATATTATTTATAAAATACAATAAAATATTTTGATTTAAAAAAATATATTTCTTTTAAATTAAATTACTAAAAAAAATTATAAAATTTTCTGGGATTATTATGATACTAACAAGCAAGGTATAGAGCCTTACATTCGACCTAAATATTTAGATTGGTTCCCATAGTTCGTGTTAGGCTTTTTTAATACTCAAAACTCCCAAATTGTTCAATTTGACCAAATTTTTAATGAAAACTTCACGCAGAGTACTAAATTTTCAGACGTTCAAGGTTTTATTTAATTTTCGAATTTTCGCTTCATCAATTTTTTTTGTTCAAAACTATTTCAACGTGTCCATATGTAAACAGTGAACCCAGTATCAAATTTCAGCTCTATCCCTTCACCTAAAAAACAAATTGAATAACATTTAGTACGCATATCCAACTGATATCTTATTCCTAGACGAAAACAGTGATCCCAAATTTTTTTGGTTAAGTACTTTTCGAAAAATTATAATTTTCCAAAACCACCTCCATTTCTCAATTCCAAATACCAACAGAGACCTCCATATCAGATTTGAGGGTTCCAGCCCAGTTCCTTCACCCAATTCCAAATTTGCTACCATTTAATACTTTCCTTACAAATACACGACTCAGTTGAAAACCACAGCCAAAGCTCAAACACAGATATCATCGGTAATTTAAATATTAAATTTGAGATTTTTATCATATTTTTTAAAATGTTTTTTATAAAAAAAATGTTTTTTTTTTAATAATACAGCAACGTGGATTTTTATGAAAAAAATGTTTTTTTTTCGAAGAGGCATGCATTCTGGATTTTTATAAAAACGTTTTTCCATAGAAACAAGCAGTATCAATATTTTGATTTTTTTGTTAAATAATAGAAGTAACGTTGGTTTTTTATGAAAAATATTTTTGCAAGGAAAGAATCAACATAGATTTTTATAAAAATTGTTTTTATTTTTATTTTCAATGTTAGGCTAAATTTTATTAAAATAGGTATTCAAACCAACCAGATCAAAGTGAGACTAGACTGGATTTATAAAAATAAAAAATTATATAAATTAAATTAAATAAATGAAATATTTTTTTCAAAGGTTGAATTTAAAAAAAATAAGTATTTTAAAAGATCATCTTACTTGGAATTTTTTATTTATTTTTTTTTTTCAAAGTGAGCAACTGGAATATCAGGAAAATTTTCTGTTTTTGGTCCATTTGAACCCCTATATATTTTTCAATCATCTCCAAAAACAATAGGGTTCTATTCTGACCCTAACCCCACCTCCATTTTCAATTTCGTGAGGATCGGCCATAAATGCGACCTGTAGCTTGATTATAAATTAACATGGACAGACGGACAGATGGAAGGACGGACATACATAGCTAGATCGACTCAGCTCGGCAAGCTAGGAAGACCCACATATACTTTCCTATGTGGGAAACCAATATTTCGAGGTGTTAAATAATTTTTGGCCCAATCAAACTTATAACTTATAGTGTTGTAGGGTATAATTAAAGGCGACTTACACGAGGTGGATTTTCATATAAAAAATATTTTTTTTTAAGTTTACGGACTGTTAAAAAATATATCTTCAAAGTTCGACATATTTGGATTTTTTTACAAACTTTTTTTTCAAAGGTTCACTGGTGTAAATTTTTGTTGAAAATATTTTTTTAAAGGATTAAAGAATATATTTTTTTATTTTTTTTTTCAAAAGGCAAATAAGTTGGATTTGTATTAAAATATTTTTTTTTCAAAAGTCGATAAATGATATTAAATTATTTTCTCGAAGGACCCATGGTGGATTTTCTTACGAATATTTTTTCGAAGGACCAGTATTAATAAATTACTCCCAGCCATTAATAATTTGGTTCAAAGAAAGTACCTTGGATTTAATAATTTTAATTTTTCTTCCCTATCCCCTGAGGTGTTGTGGGGCCCAAAAACATAGATGTCATTGTAAGTTTCTCATGCCATCCTGCAATTGGAAAAAAAATCTCAAACTCCTGCTCTTCTTCCTTCATTTTTCGAAAATGTTACAATATTTACAGCATTCAACATGCAGATTATTGTTATGTCCCTTGTCACTACCTCTCACTCTTTTTTTTTAAAACTATACTGGATTTATATATAAAATTAAAGACGACTTACACGAGGTGGATTTTCATATAAAATATTTTTTTTTTTTCAAAAAAAGTTTGCGGATTGTTAAAAATAATATATCTTCAAAGGTTGACTTATTTCGATTTTTTATTAAAAACTTTTTTTCAAAGGTTCACTGACGTCAATTTTCATTGAGAATATTTTTCAGAGGATAAATATTTTTCAAAGGATTAAGGAATATATTTTTTATATTTTTTTTTTTAAAGGGAAATTTAAATATTTTTTTTTTCAAAAGTCGATAAATGAGTGTAAATTATTTTCTCGAAGCAGCCATTGTGGATTTTCTTTCGAATATTTTTTCGAAGGACCGCCAATAATAAAATACTCCGAACTATTAATATTTTGCTTCAAAGACGGAACCTTCGATTTAATAATCTGAGTTTGTCTTCCCTATCCTCTGAGGTGTTGTAGGGCCCAAAATCATAGATGTCAATGTAAATTTCCGATGCCATTCTGCAACTGGAAAAAATGCCTGCTCTTCTTCTTTCATTTTTCG